CGAGGTCCTGGAAGGTGAGGCAGGGTGTCTCGGGAGCCGGGTGGGGAGGGGAGGCAGGTGCCTGGCCGGGGTCTGAGCACACACTGCGCTTGTAGAGGACGAGGAGCTGGACAGCGCGGAGCGGGCCTGTGACACCCTGCTCATGTGCATCGTCACGGTCATGAACCACGGGCTGCGCAACGGCGGCGGCGTGGGCGACATTCTCCGCAAGCCCTCCAAAGACGTGAGACCCGCCCCTCCCACGTCCACCCGGCCCAAGCCCTGGCCCGGGCGCAGCTGCGAGGGTCCTGCCCTCGGGTTGCGGCCAGGCAGAGCAGCTTGGTCCCTCAATCTCAGTATTAGCCCCCGCTTACACCCCTTTCCCTGACTTCCCGCTCCGTCAAAGTGAGTTACGTTGTCGCTGAGCCACCCCGCCCATCTGCTCAGACACCCTCCTGGCTCCCGCCGATGCTCTAGGAGAGACCTAGGTAGCCCGGCCTTGCCAGGCTGGGGAAGGCGTGAGTCAGCGCTGGGCGGGCCCAGGCCACAGTGCTTCCTCTGTGAGGCAGAGCCCCAGCCCCCAGCGGGGAGCTGACTCAGCTCCATAGAAGCCTCGGGATTGGCTGGGGCAGCCAGCTTTCCCAGAACAGCAGTCTGTCCCCCTCCCGAGGGGGTGATAAGCCCTCTCCTTAGCCAAACAGAGGGCTTCTAGAACTTGTGAGGCCTGGCGTGCTGAGGGCGGGGCAGAGGGGTTCAGCCCTGAGGTCAGGGGCAGGGCAAGCCTAGCCTGTAGCCCCACTCCCAGTCCAGGGCTTTGCCGGGCCGGCCTCCCTTCTGAGCCCGCTGTTTCCCAGCCCGCACTCGGGGTGCAGTCCTCGCTCGCCCCATGGAGTGAGGGTGGGTCCACTCTGCCATCTTCCTTCTGCCATGGCTGGGCCCCTCCATCACAGCCCTGACCCGCCGGAGCCCTGCCTGCCCGCTGGACGGGGACTGCGGGCCCACCTCCCTCCTTGCCCTGCAGGAGTCTCTCTTCCCGGCCCGCGTGGTCTACGACCTCCTGTTCTTCTTCATCGTCATCATCATCGTGCTGAACCTCATCTTCGGGGTGATCATCGACACCTTTGCTGACCTGCGCAGCGAGAAGCAGAAGAAGGAGGAGATCCTCAAGACCACGTGTTTCATCTGCGGTGAGGCTGCTTCCCGGCCGCACAGGCCTCAGGGCCGGGCGGCCCTGGCCGGGACGTGATCTGGGCCCGGGGCAGCCTCGGTTTGGCCCTTCCCTGGGTTCCTGAGGCCCCTGGGGAACCCTGCCCTGGGGCTGATGGCTGGTTGGCTATTTGCTCATCTCAGAATTGGGGACCACAAGCCCTGCCTGAACTTGGAGTAACAGAGAGCGGGAAAGGGCCTCAAAGCATTCCTTTAAACTCGCTCAACTTACAGAGGCCCCCAAGCCCAGGCAGCAGCCTCGAGCCTCTGGTCTCAGTCCAGGGCTTTCCCATCCCTGGTCTGAAGTGCTGGTTTCTCCCGCAGCCGCCGCAGGCTGAGGAACAGGTGTTGCCTGTAGGCAGCCCTGCTTCTCCGGCGTCAGGTGCCTGGTGAGGGCTGCCGCTGGGGCAGGGCCGATGTCCACGCCACGTGGCTGCTGCTTAGTGCAGGGGATCTGAGTGTCCCCGAGTGGGCAGTGCCCGCACTCACCAGACCGGGCCTGAGAACAGGTGGTGTGTGCGGCCCGGGTGGCCCACAGGCTCCAGGAGGCGGGTGGTTTCACCCTCGCCCTCTGCATCCTCAGGTCTGGAGAGGGACAAGTTTGATAACAAGACGGTGTCGTTTGAGGAGCACATCAAGTTCGAGCACAACATGTGGAACTACCTGTACTTCATCGTGCTGGTCCGCGTGAAAAACAAGACCGACTACACGGGGCCCGAGAGCTACGTGGCCCAGATGATCAAGGTGTGGTCCTGGGAGGTGGCCGTGGCCGCCTGCATGACTGTGGAGGCCTGGGGGAGGGGCGGGACAGCCGTGGGCACTTGGTGAAAGGCCAGCAGGGAGCGAGGAGGCTGGAGCCAGCCCTGGGGCTCTGCTGGAGAGAGAGAGACGAGAGAGAGAGAGAGAGAGAGAGAGAGAGAGAGAGAGAGAGAGAGAGAACAGCAAACCCATCAGCCCCAGCGGTGTGATGTCCCGGGGCCGTGGCTGCTGCTCTGGACGTTGGGAGGGAATGTACTATTGCGTTTGGGGTCAAGGAGAACATCAGTTCCAACGAGGGTGCATCTTCTGTGGCCGCACAGCAGAGACCTCGCAGGCTGGAAGCAAAGGCCCATTCAGGGGGGAAGAGTCCTGTTTGCTTGTGAATCTGCAATGTGAGCTGGTTGGAGTGCAGGTCTGTCAGCTGGTCTGAGGCTCACAGCTTGCCCCACGGAACCAGAAAGCGGCTCGGTCCCTCCCTCCTGTCGTGGGAAGCGTGGCTGGGCCCTGGACACGGCAGATGCAGGCCTCCTGCTCCTGCTCCATCCGTCCCACTGGCATCTTTCTGGAGCGTGCGTGCGGGGGGAGGGGAAGGGAAGGACGGACGGAGATTCGGGGTTTGGTGCGGAGGCCTCCCCTCCACCTCGGAGGGGCTGAGTGAACAGATGGTGCTGACAGCGGGAAAGGCTGAGCAGCTAATGGAAGCCAGCCTGTCCAGTGCTGGGCCCTGACCGCAGAGGGCTCGCTGCCAGCTCACTCCGGCCGGGGAGGACCGGGCATCGGCCTCCCCGAACGTCCTGGGAGTGTGTCGCCGGGGCCGGCGGCACTGCTTGCCCACCTGCTGGTGATCTTTTCAGAACAAGAACCTGGACTGGTTCCCCCGGATGAGGGCCATGTCCCTCGTGAGCAACGAAGGGGAGGGGGAGCAGAACGAGATCCGGATTCTTCAGGACAAGCTGAGCTCCACCATGAAGCTGGTGTCCCACCTCACCGCCCAGCTCAACGAGCTCAAGGAGCAGGTGTGTGCCCAGTGCCTCTCCTCCCGCCCCCCCCCCCCCCCCCGCCCTCAGCCTGCACTGGGCGGCCTCAGGCCACCCGAGCTCACAGCCCAGCCTGCCCTGCAGGGGAGGGAGTAGGTGCTGGGGCCTGCATGTCCCCCAGGTCCCCCCCTTCTTCCTGGCCCCTGTCCTTGGGTCGGGTAGAAGACGAGTCCCAAACACTCCCTTCTGTGGAAAGCTAGACTGGGGGTGGCTGCCCATCCCCAGCCTGAGACACAGCACCCCCTCCATCGGGCAGCGGCAGAGGCAAGGCAGCCCCTTTTGGGTGGGGCGGCTTCCCAGCTGCACAAAGCAGGGGCTGTGACAAGTGAGCTGAAACCAAGGGTCTGGGGCTCCATCTCGCTGCCTGAGGGCCTGGGCTGCCACCAGTGCTGAGCGGCAGCGGGGCCCATGGCGGGAGGGTGGGCGCCAGCCCCTCGGCAGTGTCTGTGCAGAGGGTGCCGGGGGCCTGACCTGTGGCATCGTTTAACCAGATGACCGAGCAGCGGAAACGCAGGCAGCGCCTGGGCTTTGTGGACGTCCAGAACTGCATGAGCCGCTGAGCCCGCGAGACCCGCCGAAGCCTGCGCCGGGCGCTGGTACTGAGCTGTGGCTGGGAACACTGCCCTTCTCTCGGTCGGGTGGCCCAGCCAGCCCCCAGCCTCCAGCTCCTGCTCTGCCAGACTCCCCCGAGCCAACCCGGGTGCTGGCCAGCACGGAGGGGGAGCCCTTAGGACTCAGACACTCACTGGGACTCAGTTTACCTTATTGCCTTAAAGACGTCTCTTAGAGGATTGCTTTGTCCCTTAAAGCAGTAACTGACATTCCTCTACTCCTCCTGGGGGCGGTTAGGAGTGGGGTCACCTTTTATTCCAAGCACTACGTTTGGTTGCTGCCCGCCTCCGGGGAGGTGCCAGGATGTTGTTGCCGGGTCACTAGGGCTTTGTTACTAAGTTATTCCCGGGCGCCCAGCCCCGCACGCCTCCTGTGCCTCAGGTCTGCCGTAGACAGTGCAGACCGTGTCCCGGCCGCCCTCGGCGTGGCCCAGCCTCAGCCCCAGCTCCAGGGGCCTGCCGGCCAAGGGTGGAGGCCCTGCCCCTGGGCCCTGCCTCTTCCTGGGCCTCTGGGGGTCACAGGCTGAAGGGGCAGGGCTGGGTGCGTGACAGTGGCTGGTTTTTGACCGCTTGTTTTTTCTCCTTTTGGTGTAATGTTTTACAAATCCTTTGGCCTGAGAACTAATATGTTAATTACCTTAAATAAATTAATAGAAATATAGTTCATTAGAAAGGGCTGCCGTTTCCTCTGGTCCCTGGGGCTGTGGGGCTGACGTGGCCCGCTGGCCCGGCCTCACCTTGGCCCTGGGAGAGCTGAGCCGCGTTCGGTCATGCCCTATGCCTGTCGTGTGCGTCCCAGGACACACTGGAGCCCACTTGGCTTCTTCCCCATGAGCGCTGTGGGTCCCTACCGCCCGCCCTCAGCTCAGTCCGAAATGTGAAGGCCCCAGTAAGAGCTAAGGTTCCGTGGAGCGAAAAGGTGGCCCGTGTGTGTCCCACAGAAGCCACCACAGCCCCAGGCCCCGGCCAAGGCTGTCTGTAGCTCCACACTGCCCCTTAAACCAACTGGAACACAGGTTTCCTGCAAGGCCGGGCAGAGGACCAGCTCCGTCCTTCTGAGGCCTGGGCACGGGGCCGACCACCTGCCTTCTTCCAGGTTGACTAGTTTTGGCTATTTCCCAGGAGCTCCCAGCCAGACCCCCCCCCCCCCCCCCCCCCCCCCCCGGGGCTCCTAGGGCTGCACAGGAAGCCCTGGCCTGGAGGCCGGCCCCTTCCCTTCCCTTCCCAGGCCGGAGCCCCTGCCTCCTCTGCCCTGGAGACGTCCCACCCTGACCGCGGGCGGCTGCTGGGCACGCCTGCTTGGGCGCAGCTTTCCCTGGAACGGCGCGGCGTCCTCTGTGGGGCTGGCTGAGGTCCCAAGCAGCGGCGCGGGGGTCAGGGAGCTTTATTTATGACGGCAATACACAGATTCCACTCAGGTCCGCGGGCGAGATAAGGACTGAGCCCAGGCCTTCTGCTTCTCCTCGGGACTCCTGGCGGAGAACTTCTCCTGCAGTTTCTTCCACAAGCCTTTATTCATGTCCTTCAGCTCCCCCAGGGTGTCTGCAAAGGGCAAGACAGAAAGGAGGCTGATGTCTAACATCTGAGGCCGGGTATTGGCCCCACAGGCTTTCTTTTCACACAGTCTGTCCCCGAAAAAGGGACGTGTAGACCCAACTTCTCAAAAGCAAGTCAGACAGGTCACAGGAAAATAACCGCCAGCGTGGACTGAGCACTGGTGTACCGGGGCCGGCTCAGCACACCGCACCCTCCCACTCAGCACCCAAGCCACGCCCTCGATGCCTGGGCTACACGTGCGTGGGCAGATGGAGACAGTAAGGTGTGTGTGGCACAGGCGAAGCTTGGCCTATGCCACACACCCGACTGTCTCCATTTTTCAGGGGTAGAAACAGGCAGAGGAAGGTTAAGCAAGTTGCTCAGGTCGCACAGCCAGGAAGAGGTGGAGCGGGGATCTGAACCCGGGCGCAGTGGGGCCCCGTGCTGTGGAGCTGAGCAGGGATCCGGGAGGGAGACGGACCTGGGCAGAATCCCTGCCCATCATTCCCCCACGGGGTCCCCTCCAACAGATTCCTTTACTCTTTAGCCTCAGGCTCCTCATCTGCAAAGTAGGGAGAAAATACCTGCCTCAAAAGGTGTGAGGATGAAAGGCAATCATGGAGGCAGCTTGCCTGGCACCTGACCTGCACCCAAGGAGAGGGGCCATCTGCATGGCTATGGCAGCAGGGGGCTGGTGGGAGGCCATGGGCGCCTTAAGCGTTTGCACACGTGTGTGCGCGCGCACACACACACACACACACACACACACACAGCCCCCAAGGAACCAATGCTGGGTTTCTCGGTCTTGGCACTATCCACATTTGGGTTGGGGCGCTGACCTGTGCATTGTAGCATCTTAGCTTCTACCCACTAGATGCCAGTAGCAACCCTCAGACTCCACCCCCACGCCCAGCTGTGACAACTAAAATATCTCCAGACACTGCCACATGTCCCCCAGGGACCAAAACTGCCCCATCAAGAACCACTGGTTTAAAGTTTCTCCAGGGCTAAGATTTTACACCTAATCTTAACTGTATATTAAATTAGATTTCCCCATAACATTGTCCAAATTTCACAGCCTGGATTTTTAACTGTTAATAAAACTTGTAGAGAAAAGGAATGGCTTTTTGGAACTAAAGGTAGCACATTACTTACTAACACTGACTGTTAGTGGTCTCTTGACAATTAGGGCACACGGCCCCTCAGCCCAGAAGTCCAGGTCCCTTTGTGGGGCACAAAGCTGGATGCTGAGGGCTGAACCCCGCCCACTACAAGCCATGAGGCTCTTCAGTCTCCCATGATCAAGCCCAAGGTGGACACACCTGGAATCCAGGCCAAGGCCAGTGGCCCGGCCTCAAACCCTCTCACTACAGACACTGCAAGGTGTTTTCTTGGCCCCTCAGAGGAGACATCTGGAACGCTGACCGACAGTCACAACAAGGCTCTGAGGACTGCTGTGAAGGGGAGCGGGCAGCAGGCTACCGGGAGGCCGATGGAGGGGAGCCTGCACCTCTGCACTGCGGCCTGAGGTCAACGAAGGGCAGAGGCTGAGAGCTTATTTCCTCTCTAGTTTCAAGTTCAAACTTGGCTGAAACTCTCCAAGTCCTCACAGTGACCTTGGGCATCAATGCGGGAATTTCAAGATCCTGCCTGGAAAAAAATCTACCCAGTTTCCCAGGGCACTGTAATGAAAACAGGCCAGCGTTGATACAACAGCAGGTGACACCACCAGGTGTGAGTCTGCTCGGAAGGTACGTTTTCTGGAATGCCAGAGGAGCAGGAAAGAGAAATGTCTGGAGTGCCACTGCAGATGAATGTTTCAGGGCCAGGCCCTCAGAGAAGGGTAGCCTATTTTTGCATATGATATCCTTGCAAATAAAAATAGTAATTTTCCAGAACCTGCCTACTTCAACCCAGGGTTCCCCGTCAGTGACAATGGAGGTGCGGAAGTGCGGAGGGCTGGGCTGGCCTGGGTATTTCCTTTCTTGCTAATCACAGTTTATCAACGACTCCAAAACATGCGCAGTTAACCCCACAGACCATGTCCCCGGGGCCAGATAAGGCGCAGTGGATAGCGCCATCCATGTGCACTGAGTGGCTTTTTGTTTCAATCAGAGCCCTCATTGTTTATACAGCCCTCTTAGGACCATACCAATAAAATTATTTTTCCTTCCATCCTGATTTCAACTACTTCCTTTTGGCGACTACGCATTCCCCTGTCCCTGCTGCTCAGCCTTGCCTTTAAAAGCTCTAAGGATGGATTTTCTCTTTAAAACAACGCTGCTGACCTTCTCCTTAGTCTAGGGCCAAAGTGTAAGGGCTGTCGCTTCAGAAGCTCCTCGGTGTCCCACAGGCAGAGGGGCCTCCGTACCTGTGGCGAGGATCAGCTTGTACTCTTCCAGGGTCAGGCCACTGAAGCTCGTGTCCCGCGGGCGAGGGTACTGGTCGCAGGGCAGAGGGGAGAAGGGGGAGAGGGTTAGTTCAGCAGCACAACCTGGGACCTGCCATCCTGGAGAAGCCTGGCTCTGACTGCACACTGGGCCACCGGAGAGTCCAGAGACCAGAGGCCCGGCAGGCGGAAGAGCAGCGCCACCTGGAGTCCCAGATGCGGCCTCGCAAGTACGGGCATCACCTGCGGCCGGCGGGCGGCTCCCACTTGAACACGCACAGGATCCTCCGGGCAAGTGCAGGCTGTCACTCAGGACCGGGCTGGGCCCCCGAGTCTCTAACCAGCTCCCAGGGGAGGCCCCTGCTGCTGCTCTTGAGCCACACACTGAGCTGCGAGGACTCAGAAGTAACCCTCTTCCACGCAGGCGAGGCACTGGCCATGCACAGGGTGGGGCCAGGTAGGTTTAGCTGCTCACACGGAAGATAACACAGTAATTGATAAGTAATAACACAAGAGTAATCTCTGTGTTTCTCGTACTCACACCCTAAACCTACGTGGCCCCACCCTGCGTATGTGGGGAATTACTGAGCAGTTTCAAGCCTGAAAACCACATGCAGTGGGATCTGACAGAAATCATGAAAGGACGAGGGTGGCAGTGTGACAGGGCGCGCCCAATCACCCACCTGTCAGCGGGGGAGGGTGGGGGGCGCACTTTCACCAGAGCACACGGAGAATCTCAGATCTAAGTCACCAGACACGCCCAGAAGCCCACACTGGCATATACATTACACGGCTTTTATTCAAGATTATAAATAGCTTTTACTTAAGTGACCTGAAAGCCTCCATGAGGTGCCTTTGTTGGCTTGCTTGAAATTACTGGTTACATTTGAAAGTAGCAGAGCCGACATTCTTTACAAAACACCGTGTAATCAGATTTTCACTTGTTCTTCTAGGTCAGAGGGCGGGGGGCATGACAGGCTGTGCCCACTCACCTTGTGTTTGTAATAGTTTGAATGGAGTCGTGCTAAGCTCTCGTACATCTCATCGCAGGCCTCAGGCTCTGCCACCTGAAACACAAAGAACCCCAAGGCAGTGAGCCAGTGAGCCCTGCCCGCCGGCCAGTCCCTCCAGGAGGCAGTCCCGGGGGCAGTCCCCGAGGATGGCCAGCAGCTCACCTGCCCAACTCCCCTCGCTGCCCACTATTAGACATCACCTTCATGGGGTAATGGCTCCACCTCATCCACTCCCCACCGGCAGAACACTTCCGCCAGCTGGCAGAGAAACATCCAAGCATCTGTGCCCTGTGAACCACCACCCAGCTGCAGTGGGAGACGCCACATCCTATGTAATAAAAGCATAATATGCAAATCGACCGAACGGCGAACAGTGGAACAAGGACCACACTATGACACCCACTGGTGCCAGGCCAGCCAAGGCCGGTGCGATGCGATTGGTCGGGGGCCTGGCCATCGTCTCATGATCGCCCCGCAGAGGGAGGCCCAGGCCCCGACCAGCGGGCTGAGGCGGGTGGGAGAGGCCTCCCTCTGAGGGAAGCCCAGGTCCTGGTGGAGGGACGCTGGTGCCGGCAGCCGAGGGAATCTCATGCATCGGACCTCTAGTAAACATAACACAGGAAGGGCGCACCGCATAAGGGGGTGCTAGGGCAGTGTGGACTCCGGGAAGCCGGAGGAGGGTGTCCCCCGGTGTGAGCGGTCAGTGTATGGCAGAGTGCGGCTAAGCTGGGCTCTGAAGGGTACATGGGAGGGAGCCTTGCTGGTGGAGGGGTGGGTGAGCCAGGCAGGGGAGGCAGGAATGCTGTCTGCGTTAGCCCGCCCTCTGGCGGAGGGTCTGAGCGTGCAGGTAAAGAACCTGGGCAGAGGAAAAGAAAGCTCTTTGAGTTAAACCTTCAGTGTGGAATGTATCACATAAAGATTCTCTTATGAAACGCAAAGAGGCTCATCTGGCCCTTCAACTGTGGAGGGGGAGCTGCTGAACTCTGCACGGGAAGAACATGCAGAAACAAGTGTGCTGAGCCGAGGTGGCTGCACGGAGGGAAACGAAGAGGGAGTGAGGTTAGGCCCTGCTGGGAAGGGCGAGGCCCCGGACACGGAGGCCCTGAGAGCAGAAAGGGGAAAGTAGGGAGATGTTCTGGCCCTGGCTGGTTTGGCTCAGTGGACAGAGCGTCGGCCTGGGGACGGAAGGGTCCCGGGTTCAATTCCAGTCAAGGGCACATGCCCGGGGTTCTGTGCAGGAGGTGGCTGGGGGTGTGCAGGAGGCAGCCAATCAATGATTCTCTCTCATCATTAATGTTTCTCTCTCTCCCTCTCCTTTTCTGAAATCAATAAAAATATATCAAAAACAAAGAAATATTCTGGGTGCCCAAGACAGCGCTGCCCTTGCTGGAAACCAGGGAAGACGCAGATGAGAGCGGTGATTCGCCCTTGACACCTCCCTCAGCTCCCCTGCCCTCGCTATTATTATCTATAGTTCCTTACGTTATTCAGCCAGGACTTCTGAAAGCTCCCCAGAACAAAACTTCCTCTGCCATGTTTTTTGCCAGAATTCAAATGCTGGATTTTTCCAACTTAAATCCTTTCTCGAAGAAGGCAGAGCACAAATAAATCAGTAGTTAAGTGTCTTAATAAGGCCGCTCGCTTCTGCCTCTGTGCGTGTCAAATGAGGTCCCCACTTCAGGGCCAACAAAAAGATGATCATCCCTTGAGTTCCACCTGATCCGTGCCGGGGTTCAGCCACTCATCTCGAGAAGGGCCAGGGAGCACATCAGAAGAGAAAGGCTTATGGGCTGAGGAGGTCGTGTTTGTTGGGTAATAATCAAAGGCATTGTCTGAGTGGACGGGGGCTAAGGGCTGGAAAGAAGGAACTGATGGGAGACTGTGACAGCTGAGTCCCTGGGCATGCGGGGGTGGGAAAGGGGTGGGTGTGGGGGGGTGGCATTTCCAGGGAAAGCCCAGAACCCTGCAGCACACACTCGGGAGGGGAGTGGGAGCCTGTGTCTTCGGCAGGGCGTGCACGCCAAGAGCGAACGCGGAGACAGAGGCACGGGAGACACCAGCGCCGGGTTTTAAAGAGCGTTACCAGCAGCTCTCTGTGGGGCATGCTGTGCCCTCCCCACCCCTCCCCCTTTCTCTCTCCTAGGCTCCAAGGGCCCTTCTTCTATCTACAGCTCACTTCTACCTCTGTGACGTTCTAAATAAAAAATATTATTAAAAATAAAAATATTATAAAGATTACTACAAGATAATTGAGCATTTCAACTTGTGCTTGCTCTCTTCATACCTGCAGAGATGTGTTTGCTTATAAGTCTCAAAGACATGCCTTGGACCCAAACCGCCTGGGCCTGAATCTTGGCATCATCGCCAACCAGCTCTGGGATGTTGGGCAAATCCCTAATCTCTTCCTGTCCCTGACTCTTCAAAATGTCCCCCACGTTTGCTTTATCATTCTGTGTGTCTACATACATGTATTTTTCTTCTGCTCCACTTGAGAATAAAGTGAAACAAACGCCCTTCACGCTGTAAGATTTCAGTATGCTTCCAGAGAACAAGGGCCTTCTCTCATATAACCACAGTTCATCGATCAAACCCAGAGATTTCACACTGAAACAGCACTTTGTCTAGTGCACACAGGTAAAATTCTGTCTCAGTAATAACTTTTTAAATCCTCATCCGAGGATATTTTTTCCCATTGATTTCTAGAGAGAGTGGGAGGGAGGGGGGGACGGGAAGAGAGAGAAACATTGAGGGAAGAGAGATTCATCATTTGGTTGCCTCCCACATGTGCGCTGGGAAACCTGCAACAAGGCACGTGCCCTTGACCTGGGATTGAATCCGAGAGCCATCGGTCTGTGGGCCGACGCGCCAACCACTGTGCCAAACTGTCCAGGGCTCAGGAATAAACTCTATAGGAAAAGAAGTGCTTTGGCCCAGGATCGCCTACTGCGTTTACCTGTCACATGCATGTCTCCTCACAGCGGGCAGCTCCTCGGCCTGTCTTTGTCTTTCAAGTACTGACATTTTTGAAGCGACTGGCCAACTGAGCCTTTCTCCTACAGAAAGGGTAACGGCCCTGCCTGAGAGCGGAGGGCGGGCGGCGGAGGCAGCGCCGTGCTGACTGGGCCCTGCGGCCTCATGGAGTGAGGGGTTAGTCTTCTTACTACTAGGAGTCAACAGCCGTGTGACACAGGCCTCTTGCCCACAACGACAAGGAGACGGAGAGGGGTCAGGAGGGTCCGGGTGATGGTGGATGAGGGTGCGGTGGGTCCAGGGAGACCTGGCAGAGGGTGCCGGTGGGAGCGAGCGGAGTTCCCCGAAGGACCGGGCTCTCCAGGCACAGGACCAGGGAGCACGCATCCCGGGTGCCCAGGGGTGGCAGTTAGGACATGATCAGCGGATCAGTGCTGCCGTGGACTGCTGGGGCGTGGCTAGAAATGGTGACGAAGGAACTGGAAAGCAGCTGTCACTGCGGACCCGCCCACACCAGCCCGGGCCCTGAGACTCAGCGGCATCGTACCTGGCGGTCGGCTCAGTGGGGCTCCAACACTGGCCCCTGCTCTCTGTCTGCCGCACCTGCTCTTCGGATGCCCCGCCTGCCGCCCTCTAGGGGCCGCCCCCGACATGCTCTTAGGAGAGGCGGCCACTGCTGACTTGCCTTCCTCCCGGCGCCTCTCTCCGGGGCTCCTGCCACTGCTTGTGGGTCCACCGAGACGGCGTCCTCGGCACACCCACGCTCCCACCAGCTCCTCGCCCTCGGAAACCTTGCCAACACAAGTTCCTCTCCTGCTTCTCTCACTTCTCTAAGGGTGGGGATGTGCCAGAGGGCTGCTCAGCCACCTCCTCCGTACCCTCAGGGGGTGGGCAGGGCCGCAGGGTCAGAGAGGACAGACCTTACAGAGCACTGCTCCCAGGAGGGCAAAGAGCACGGAGTCTGAGGGAAAAAACAGTGACCCTCTGGGCTCCCGTGACCTCTTAAAATCCCTTCAGCAATAGAGGCTGTTAGATGTGTCACATGGTGCCTGGAGCCCACTACCATCACAGCAGGAACCAAACACTTCAAACGCCTGTAAATAATCAATCCCCAAAAATGAACCTTCACCCAACTTCCCACCTGGGGTCAGAGGTGTCTCTATGAGGCCGTGGAGGTGCTTCGTGGAGGTGATGAGTTTGCACCTGCCAACGTCTAGCCGAGTTATCACACCCAAGCCAAGCTCAGCAATTAAAGAACAGTCTTGCTTACTACGGAAGAGGCCATCAGCGGAACACTTGTCTGATTCCAGAGGCCCGCCACACCTGCGCCCTGCGCGCACCCGGGCTCCAGCACAGCACTCCCGGGTTTGGAATAGTTTGCCGGATGACACGAACGCGCACTTCTGGAAACGTCCTTATGCACAAGCTTTAAACGACCCGATTTTGCATTCACACCTAATGAGGTGGCGGGCATCTTGGGCGTAAGAGCACAGCTGCTGAAGAAGGCAAGCGGCACATTAAGAAAAAGTCAGTTCCGCTCCCGAAATGTGAGTCCATAGATGCTCAGCTGACGAGGTGCCCTCCACGGCTCTATGTGGCGGCTCTGCATTTCGCCTGTGCGGCCGTCCCCTGATGCGGTAGATTTCTCTTTACCACATTAAACTTTCATACTTAACAAATGTGCCGGCGCCGCAGGCATGGACTCTGATTTTCAAAATTGAATGTTGGGTGGTGCGGGCAAGTGGTGCGGCGGCCCCTATTCCAGTCACACAAAGGGACTCATAAGCACTTTGGGGAAAGGGCGATGCAAATTGCTTTGCTAGTTAAGACAGAGCTGGATTCAGTCCAGGAGGATCTATGAATAAAGGTTTCATGACTTGGTAATGAACTGAAATGAGTTCATCCTGTTATGGGAGCCTATTCCCTGCGATGCAGTTGAAAATGCATTTCTTGGGCGCCTATTATGTACAGTGCTCCGCCAGGGAGCTTCATGGGAGGACATGAAGACCCAGCCTCAGCTCTGGAGAAACTGCAATCACGGAGGAGACAAGACCTGCTCGAATTAAGAAATCAAACATGGCCTG